AAAGTAAAATTGAATTTTTTTGACAATTTTTTCCCTTTCTATTATAAAGATCCTATATGATTAAATATAATTAAAATGATAGAAATCAGAATTAATTTTTCTCTTAATAATATTTAATACTAGGTTATATTTATTAATAATTAAAAAATATAAGGTATATCTAATCTTAGAAATCTTTTACTTATATTATTGTATAATGATTATTATTAACTATTTAGTAACTAACAATTTTAAATATTTTAAATAATTTTTAAATATAAAAAAGCTTTTAAAAATTAAAATTACATAATTATTTATTAAATATATTATTTTTAAAATTATAAAAATTTATAAGTAAATTTCTCTGCTTATTTACTATAAATTTTCTTCTGATTTACTTTTAATAAAAAATTAAAATTTTTTAATTTTATAAATATATATTATTATAATAATTTTTATTTTTTAATTAAATAATAAATATCAAAAATTATTTATAAGCTAAAAATTTGTAATTTTTAAAATTTTCATTATTATCTTTTATAATCTTATATTTAGAGTAAATTTATTTCTCATCCCAAGTAAGATAAATTATTTTTCACCTTTTATAATTTTTTTTGTATGCATTTTTTATTAACAAAAATTATTATAAAAAAAATAGCATTTATCAATATTTATTGTTTAAATTCTGCATCAAATAAATGTAACAATTAAAGCCAAAATATCACAAACATGCTATTACTATAAGATTAACATGATCTTATGCTATTACTAATTGAAACAAATAAAATAACACTTTGATTTTGCACTATAAATACGTGATTAAGTATTGTAACCTAACCCTTAGAATAAGTATTATGATAATGACTATATTTCTCACATAAATCACACTTATGACATCTATCAGATATTGCTTGTTCGCCTCTACCTTTACCTTTTGAATCTGATTTTTCAACAGATGGCTTCAACTGTTTTGTTGATGGTCTTCCTTTAAGCTGACGCTTCAATAGATCTAAAATCTAATTAGAATCGATCAATACTTCTTTTGTATTATAAAGGATCTGATTGTCATTCATTTTTATCCGCTAAAGCTTTTTGTTGCTTAATCAATTCTGCTTGAATTAGTTAAGCTTCTTTTCTTTTATTAAAATCCTTGATAAACTGAATCAGTTCTTCATCATCATCTTGAATTACAAATTGAATTGCCTTTTTAGCTTTGCTCATTAGAGTATTAAATTTTAATTAATTTCGTGATATTTGCTTAGAATACCTTTCTAAAAGATCATTTATAGTGTATTATTAGGTAAATTCTAAAGTGATTTGCATACCATTTTGATCATTTTGGCCATTACTTGTAATTGTCTCATTAGAATAAGTATCGTTTAAATTGATATATTTATCCTTATACCAACGCTTAGGAATCAATGTCAAATGAAAATATGTATTAGAAGATTCAATAAACACTTTAAAAAAATGCCTGCATATAATACCATGAGTGACAAGCATAAAACAAGTG